TCTCTAAGGTGCCACAAGTACTCCTGTTCTTTTTGCGGATATAGACTAACACGGCTGCTACTCTGAAACAAGAAGTAAGAAACAGTGGTGCCCAGGCAAGAATCCATGAGCTGAATCCAAGAGGTTTCTTCGTGCCTTCTGGCTGCCATTCATTCAACCTGGTTGTGTGAGATGCAGCATCATCTTCTTTAGATTCAGTATCTCTCTTCAGAGTACTGCAAAGAATATGCATCCTGTTTTCAGCATGAACTATCAGGGAGAAGATCCTCACGGACAATGTTACAAATCTGACGGTGAAGCCACTAAGTGACACTCGTTGGGAGAGCCAAATTGACAGCATAAGGCCAGTGAGGTACCGAGTGACTAAGGTTTACGACGGCCTGATGGAATTGGTGCAGTCAAGTAAAGCCAAGACCATAATCAGACACGAGGCACAAAGCCTGGCAAACCAGATCACTGACTTCAAATCTCTGGTGTCAGTTGTGGTTTGGCATCATATCCTGTTCCAAGTAAATGTTGTAAGCAAGGCATTACAAACTCAGTCGATGGACATCACGACCACTACTGTTTTGATGAGAAGCTGCCTTGATTTCGTTGTGGCCTACAGAGACAACGGATTTGAAGATGCCATCACTGCTGCCAGAGCGATGGTGGAAAACTTAGGAGTTGAGCCTGTCTTCAAGGAAACTCGTATTCATCGGAAGAAGAGACAGTTTGGTTATGAGGGCAGAGATGAGATGATGGGAAGCTCGGAAGAAAAATTCAAGAGGGAGTATTTTTGCTCTCTCATTGACACTCCTTGAGTATCCATTGAAGAAAGGTTTGGACAAATGAAGCACCACAAAAAGACCTGACGTTAGTAAGCTGTTGGAAGACAGGAAAACACTCTTGAACAATTGTACCGACCTTCACCAGATGCTGATACATGGGAAACGTTCGGACGTCAATGATAAAGACCTCTGTGTCGAATTAGACAACATCTGTCACATTTTGCAACACGGGAAGCACTCTCCACTCCAAGTTCTCCAATTCATTTATGATGCAGAGCTGAAGGACACTTTTCCTAATGTGTGGATAGCTTTGAGGACTCTGCTCATGCTGCCGGTCACAGTTGGGAGTGGGGAGCGCAGTTTTCAAAGCTCAGGCTCATTAAAATATATCTTCAATGGACTATGACTAACGAGAGACTGACATCACTTGCTATTTTATTGCTTGAAAATGCCATTGGCCAGTTTTGAATCTCTGACGCTGTGCTTCAGTTCATGAGGACAAAGGCAAAAAAAGCAACCTTTTGAACTAAAGGACTAGGGTTAACAGTCTAAGAAGGCTGTCACCTACTGTAACACTATTTAATACTGGTCCACCCAATGTTGGTGCACAGTTCAGTTTCTTGATGTTAGTACACTTCAGTTATTCTTAAAATTAAAAAGTTTTTATAAGCTTAGAGGAAACACATTTTTTTTATTTGCTTATATATGGCATGAATAAATACAGATTTACACATCCTAGCATGCAAATTTATCATCTTATATGACAGGGATAAAGCATGCATGTAAATCATGCATCAAAGTAATGAAATGGGCTACAAATGCAATAAAAAATAAGGTATTCAAAAGTTTAACAAATGAAGGGGGGGCATTTTGTCTAGGGCTGGCCCTGGTGGTATATGCTTAGCACAACCGTACATTCATCCACTCTCTGATTATGGTGAGTTGCAGGTGTTTGCTAGCTTCTTCCCACTCCCTTTATTTTATAGTAGCTGCATTGCAGTATAAAAGAGCGAACAATGGACACTACACCGCTCAGACTGGGCAAAGCTGGAGACTTTCCACACAAAATGCCAATGTCGTATATTGAGCATAAAGTGGAATGACTTAACCTGTAATGCAGATGTTTATGGTCATGCCGGTCTACAGACTACTGGGGCCATTGTCCACCGACGGCGCCTTACGCTTTTCGGACATGTCGCGAGAATCCCTCAAGACGTTCCAGCGAACGCCGTTCTCCGGGTGGCTTGTAACATCCGCGATAAAATTCCACCAACTGAGGGGTGGAGGTGGCCCAGAGGCAGACCCCCTATTACATGGGTTCGTCAAGTCTGTTACGATGTTGGACTCTTGGGCTGTCAAGCCCTTGCGGCCACACAGGAATAGACCAAATGGTGAACAATCACTGTGGCCAACTGTTCAGCTGTGCGTTGAAGAAGAAGACGACATTGTGGTATAAAGTTTTCATTAGAAAATCAATCGGTAAATCCATAACTCACTGGTAAATGAATCAAGCCCTTCACCCCTGTTTCTTTGAGCTTAGATTCTCAGATACCAGCTTTAAATATTCCCCCTCCCCAACATATTAGCACTTGAAAGAAGAATGCTGACAAGGCTGACAGGTCTGAATACTCACCTACTTTGACAGTGGTTTTGTTCTACAGTTCATGCTTTCAGAGGCCAGGTGTTTATATGCTGTGACATACCCAGGATATAATCTAGACTAGTGAGTAACTGTGTCACTCCTGCCTTCTAACCTGGGGTGTCCTTTACACTGTTTTGCTGTTGTTGCCTCCACTTTAGCATATAAATCACTCCCAGCTATGTCTGTGTGCATTTGCATCCCGCCAGCCTGAATTAAATTGCAGGGTGACCCCAGCACATTCCCACTTCCAGATTTCCCCCCAGAAATGTATGTACTGTACTGCCCAGCCCTCTCACGGACTACAGAAGCTCATATAAAGTCCTGTATTTTATTAAGAGAAATTATATGCACAAATCCTGTAATGCCAAATGGATTTGCCCAAATACTTCAATTCAAACACACCTGTTTCGATAGAACAAGTGTGCTAACTACAAGAGATAAAATTAAGTGAATACAAGTAATGAGGCATAAAAGTCAGAAATGGTTACAAGAAACATAAAGATCAAACACAACTAATGCCTAACTTAATAAACTATGATAAATTCAAAGCACAGTTTTTCTCACCACATGTTCTCAACAGTCTTACTGGCTGAACTTCTTAGGCCAGGACAATCTTCTGTGTAATGTCTGCTTCCTTTGTTCCTTCTGGTGCAGTGAATTGGTGGACAGAGAGAGAGAGAGAGGGAGGAGGGGGAGGAGAAGGGGGTGAGGTCCCTCGGTGCGTTTTTCCCCCTTTGTATAGTGTCAATCTCCTTTGGAAAGCATTTCCAACTGAGATTCAGGAGACAAAAAGTCTGTTTGGATGAGAACTTCTTGCTGTTTGTTTGGGTTTTTTTTGTTGTTTTTTGTTTGTTTGTTTTTGCTAAGATATAGATTTTTCACCCATACCTCCTTTCCTGCCAAAGAATGGCCATTTATCAGGTACTGACCTATTGGCCTTGTTTACGCTTGTCTGAGGTGTCAGCTTGCTCTTTGTCTCTGAGGGACTGGTTTGGCCACCCCCAGACTTGGAACATGTTTTAGTAGAATCTTATAACTCTACACACAATGTTGCTACACATGTTTTACCAGGACAATAATGCCCAGTAAATTCTGAATTTTCAAATGACACCGCATGAGGCATACTTTGTACAAAGATTGTTACAATAGAGTGCAAGAGGTGAATTCAGGGGTATATTTTCTCACAGACGCCTTTTCCAAACAAGCTCCTTCTGTGGACTTTTCCTCAATGCAATAGTCTTCCACTGATTAAAAGACAATGTTTGAATGTAAATTGATGGTCCGGTCCCCTTCTGGGGAAAATACAGGCCCCAGCTAGTTCTCCATATGCTCAATGGTAGCCAGGAACATCGTGCGGTTGCTGTTGTGTATTGGGGGTGGCAGGATACTTTACTGTCGTTCTTGATGTTTCATGACTCCTGATGTTCCAAGAAGATACTTTGCTTCATGCACAGTACCATCTCTGGTCCACCTGAGAGGGCTGCATAGAGGAGACGGATGGAATGGCCACCCAGCACAGCATCCTTCTGAATGGGGTGGTGGAGCTGTCAGATCTGCCTTCTAGATTCAGTCTGTATTGTTGTTGTCATCTCCCAGACAGTCAGTGGGTTCTGGAGTGTGAAGGCAGCTTTCCAAGCAGGGTACAACTGAGGCCAGTGTCTCCACTGGTTTCAGATTCACTTTGGTTTTTTTCCAGCAAGAAAAAGGACAGAAAGGACCACATGGAGCTCGTTTCCTGGCGGGAGATTTCAAACAGGCAGCATGAGCTAGTTAGAGTGGGAAAGCTCTACTGCGTAGCTGTGTGTATTCATGTAGAGCAGGGATCGGCAACCTTTGGCACGTGGCCCGTCAGGGAAATCCGCTGGCAGGCCGGGACAATTTGTTTACCTGCAGCGTCCGCAGGTTTGGCTGATCGCAGCTCCCACTGGCTGTGGTTCGCCGTTCCAGGCCAATGGGGGCTGTGGGAAGTGGCGGCCAGCACATCCCTCAGCCCACGCTGCTTCCCGCAGCCCCCGTTGGCCTGGAACGGTGAACCATGGCCAGTGAGAGCTGCGATCGGCCGAATCTGCGGACGCTGCAGGTAAACAAACCGTCCCGGCCCGCCAGCGGATTTCCCTGATGGGCCGTGTGCCAAAGGTTGCCGATCCCTTATCTATAGATATAATATAAACAATTTGATGACCTGAGAGGGGCCAGTATCCTGAGATTAGAGGGGCAAAGGATTGGGAAGTGAGTGAGCAAACTATCCCTGAATGAAAATAGATTAATAAATCACTATTAATTATTGTTCCTGTAAATAACTTTGGCACAACAGCATCACCACCATGTTGAGTTCCATCTTAAAATCTCACTTTTGGGCTCCTCCTCTCTTTAGCCCGAAGTACTTTGCAAATGTACAGAAAATCACTTTGTGCACCACTGAAGTCAAGACAGTTCTTGGGTAGAACATGGATGCTGTTTAAGAGCAAACAGCTACAATGGGCAATTATTGTAACTGGTTTGCAAATCATCGGCTTCGGAGATTTACCAAGCAGATAAATATTCTGTGGTTTGTTTGTTTTTTATAAGCAATGTTTTGTTTTCTCTAGGTGTCAAGTGTGGCGGAGTCCTCGCCGCACCATATGGCAACTTCTCCAGCCCTAATTTCCCTGGACTCTACCCCTATGACACCGAGTGCACTTGGCTCATAGTGGTCACAGAAGGATCCTCGGCCCTGTTGACCTTTGACCACTTTGACCTGGAATATCACGACAACTGTGAGTACGACTACCTCAAAATCTACAACGGCTTCTCCGAGGACGAGGGGAATCTCCTGGGAAAGTTCTGTGGCAAGAGCTCCCCTCCGCAGTTTACTTCTTCCTGGCATGTCATGTCCATCATCTTCCACTCAGATAAGCACGTGGCCAGTCAAGGCTTTTCTGCAGCTTACCGGAAAGGTTGGAATAGATTTTATGTGGAGTTTCCTCAAAGGGTTAATGCATGAAACGCCTGGGTGAAAGGCTTCTAGGTTTGCTGTGTAGCAGTGGACAAAGAGACTGTTACACGAGCACCTTTGAAACAAACTGTGTCCCACAAAGTAGAGTTAAAGGATTATACAGAGTGAACTAATTAGGGATGTGATGAATACCCGGCTCAGTTCTGGTGTGAATCTGGTCTGTTTGAGGGTGTTTGAATAAACTCTGCTAAAAATCCACCCCCAAAAATGACAGGTCTTGCATAGTATCAGGCTTAAAGTGCAGCTCTGGTCTGAAAAGTGAGTCTGCAAAATCCTGGGGCTTATTATAGATCATAGAATGTCAGGGGCCTCAGGAGGTCATCTAGTCCAACCCCTTGCTCAAAGCAGGACCAATTCCCAGACAGATTTTTGCCCCAAATGGCTCCCTCAAGGATTGAGTTCATAACCCTGGATTTAGCAGGCCAATGCTCAAACCACTGAGCTATCCCTCCCCCCAGCACAGTGATTTCCAGCGCCAGTGTGCTCGGTTTACAACTGAAAGGATGGCTTTTCTAATGGCCAGCCCACAGTTTACTCTCTGGGCTCTGAGACAAGCTGGTCTCTTTCCTCCTTATGAAGCATCACCAGGAATAAAGGTTCTGGGGGCTTAACTGTGTCATTAGACCTGGGCAATGAGCAGCAGGGATGCACAGGTATAACAGAGAGAAGAATTCAGCCCTGCAATGGGACCTTAGTGCTGAATGAGCATCATGTGATGTACCATTTTGACTAGTAAAAAACAGGACAGGAGAGTAAAAAACACTTTCTCTACAATGCCCCCTGAAGGAGGAATCTCCCAGGCCCAGTACATTAGTCCATCGTCAGTCTCCAGATGGAATGAAACTTGGGTTGCTCTGCTCATTTGGCAGGAAACTGCTTTTCCTTATGGAGTTGGAGACAACCTATAGCCTTCTACACCCCCAAGCTGTTTCTTTGCCTCCTTTGTTCCTCTTTCCAGGGTGGAGGCATGTGTGTGGATGTTCTCCATCCCCTTTGTGGGCCATGGGACTTCCCTCTGCTTCTCTCGGAGGTGTTATGTGTGTAACCCATCTGTGTTTGTTTCCAGATGTTTGTGGGGGAGTGCTCACTGGCCTTTCCGGCATGATAACAAGCCCTGATTACCCTGAGAATTACCCCAACAATGCTGAATGCCGCTGGATCATCCGGGCAGTGCCCAACTCCATCATCAAGCTGGTTTTTGCTGACTTTCAGATGGAAAACAACGAGGGATGCAATTTTGATTACGTGGCCGTCTATGATGGGCCCACGATGGGGGACATGCATCTCAGCCACTACTGTGGGAATATGAAACCCCCTGATATCGTCTCTTCCACGCACGAGCTCCTGCTGGTGTTCAAGTCAGACTTCAATATAGGAGGTAGAGGCTTCAAGGCCTATTTTTTCTCAGGTACGGAGGCAACTGCTTGTCCAGCGTAAGCTACCAGATGTATGGGAAGCCCTTTGGGCCCTCTTCTTCTCCACCACTGTCCCAGGGTGTTGCTCTCACAAAGGGGGTATAGATTCACTGTTCCTCCACCCATGGCAAGATCTTTTGCGTGCAGGCCAGCAAGTGAAATGGTTTGGTGTCATGCTTGTGAATTGTAAGCCTTAGTATATGAGGGGCTCCCAGAGAGTGGAAGGGGCCCTTCTAGCATCTGTGTCATATCCATTTAAATAAAAAGTACATTTAAGAGTGTTCAGACCTTAATTCTAGAGCGGCAGCATGGTTGACCAGGCAGGGCGACTGAACTGGGACTCAGGAGTCAAGAGTTTTATCCCCACCGCTGCCCCGGCTCGCCGTGTGATCTTGAGCAAGTCATTCCTATCTAGGTCCTTCTGCGGCCCCAATTACTGTAGCATCTAAGCCTCCTCAAAATGTTTATGGGGCACCCTTGTAGAGAAACAGTATCAGCCTCATTTTACAGATGGGGAACTGAGACACAAAGAGATCAGGGGACTTACCAAGAGTCACACAGGAAGCCTGTACTAGAGCTGGGAAGTGAATCTACAGCTCCTGTGTCTTAGGCCAGGGCCTTAACCACAAGACCACCTGCTCTTGGTTAGGGCTGTAGCCTGCTTCCTTGAAGTCAATGGCAAAGCTCCCACTGACCTCGCTGGGGTAGCACTGTCAGGAATCAGGGCCTGCAGCAGCAAAGCCAGTCTCCAGGCAACCTAACGAGCACAGCTGGCCTGTAGCAGGCTGACCAATAGGCCACACTGCATGATTAGGGTGACCAGATGTCCCGATTTTATAGGGACAGTCCTGATATTTGGGGCTTTGTCTTATATAGGCACCTATTACCCCCCTCCCAATTTTTCACACTTGCTGTCTGGTCACCCTATGCATGATTGGTGGGAAGAGTCAGCAGACTGGCTCTGAAGCCCAGCTGCAGCAGCCGTGCAGTGGCTGTGATAGTCCCTGTGTCTGCTTAGTCGCAGCCTTGCCTCACTCCAGGTAACCTAGGCCTGACCCCCGGACTCCTGCTCTGACCTGTAGCCATGACCCCTGCCTATGTCCTGGTCATGTGACATGTTAAGCTTTTAACTTCGCTGTTTCCCTGTCTGTAGGTTGAGGATAAGGATCCTTTTCCCTTCTTTGCCAAAGCACACTGATGTCCTCAGTTGAAAAGCTCTGCATGGGTGCTTGTTGTTATCACTGTTCTTGAAATCCTTTGCGTTGTGTGGAGTCTGGCCGCAATTGTGCAGCTAACGACCCCCCTAACTCTTTGAACGTTTGGGGCAGATCTGTACAGCATGTGGCTGTGAAACCTTTATGTGGAAAAGATAATTTGTTGCGATATATTTTAGCAATAAATCAAGAGAACCCCCCAGCAGCTGCTCCCTCCACACCCAGGGGTTTCGGTTTGATTGGTAATACGTTTTCTTTTTCTAACCAGGCAAATGCCAGGAAGTGTACACAGCCATCAAAGGAAATTTCTCCAGTCCTCAGTATCCCAACTTTTACCCCAACAATATCAAATGTCATTGGACCATCCAGCTCCCCCCAGGATACCGAATCAAAGTCTTCTTCCTGGACTTGGCTCTGGAGGGGCGGAACAGCCTAACAGATGGCTGTGATTACGACCATCTGGCAGTGTTTGATGGAGGCACTGAGAAAGCTTCCCTCCTGGGGAAGTGGTGTGGGAGAGAGATGCTGTCTCCCATAACATCCACTAGAAACAAACTGCTGTTGGTCCTCCACACAGACAGGAACACGGCCAACAGGGGGTTCTCGGTAGCATATATTGGAGGTAAGGCATGACTCAGTGCATTGATCCCGTTCTCCCTCGCTCCCTGCTGGATATTTGTAGGGCAAGGCTGCGGAGAATTATAAGTATGGAGACAGTCAGTAAAAATCTGACAGTCTGAGTTCCAAAAGTACATGCACAAAAATGTGAGCAAATTTGTGCACCAAACTTTTGCATGCATGTGGTTACTATAATTGCTCATGCAAATTGGGCAATTGTGCAAACGGCTAGCCAGTGGGGAGTTATAACTGGTGTGACGGGTTGGATCACAGAAACCCCCTTGGGAGCTGCCACCCGATGTGCCAAGACTACCCCTGCTTCTGTTTTCCCTGCCAGCTCAGGACTCCAGCACCCCGTCTTGCTGAATTAGACACTCCAGTCCACCTCAACACAGACCCAGGGTCTGAATTACTTGTCCCAAAACTACAAGTTTACCCAAAAACAGCTCACAGGAGTGTGCTTGTCTTTAGCACTCAGATGCCCAACTCCCAATGGGGTCTAAACCCAGATAAATCCGTTTTACCCTGCATAAAGCTTATGCAGGGCAAACTCATAAATTGTTCGCCCTCTATAACACTGATAGAGAGATATGCACAGCTGTTTGCTCCCCCAGGTATTAATACATACTCTGAGTAAATTACTAAATAAAAAGTGATTTTATTAAATACAGACAGTAGGATTTAAGTGGTTCAAAGTAGTAACAGACAGAACAAAGTAAGTCACAAGCAAAATAAAATAAAATGCGCAAATCTATGCCTAATCAAACTAAATACAGATAATCTCACCCTCAGAGATGCTTCAGTAAGTTTTTCTCAGACTGGACACCTTCCAGGCCTGGGCACAATTCTTTCCCCTGGTACAGCTTTTGTTCCAGCTTAGGTGTTATCTAGGGGATTCTCCATGATGGCTCCTCTCTCCTCTCTGTTCTCTTCCACCCCTTTATATATCTTTTGCATAAGGCGGGAATCCTTTGTCCCTCTGGGTTTCCACCCCCCCTCACTGGAAAAGCACCAGGTCAAAGATGGATTCCAGTTCAGGTGACACGATCACATGTCACTGCAAGACTTCATTACTCACTTGCCAGCACACACATATACAGGAAGACTCACAGGTAAACAGCCATCTGCAGACAATGGGAGTCATCAAGATTCCAAACCATCATTAATGGCCCACACTTTACATAATTACAATAGGCCCTCAGAGTTACATTTTATACTTCTAGTTTTAGATACCAGAGTGGTACATTTATACAAATCAGATGATCATACTCAGTAGATTATGCAATTTGTAATGATACCTTACAAGAGACCTTTTGCACGAAGCATATCCCAGTTGCATTATATTCACTTATTGCCAAATTTTTATAAAACTATCCCAGTTACATTATATTCACTTATATTTTTATAAAACCATGTAGACTGCACAACGTCACAACTGGCTTTTTGCATGTGCGATTACCCAGCTGTACCTCTGCAACCACTGTAATTGCACATATCAGTTAGGCACTCTGCTGTTCAAATGCCTAAACATGCAAAAGTGCATGACATATTTTTGTATCGGGATTTCACACATGCAGCCAGATCTGCAAAGACACTTTCAAAAATAAGTAGGTCCTGGGTTATATACTACCCCAACCACCTAGACCTGGGATGGAAGAGTTCTGAGACACTGAACAAACAAAACACTAGGCCATGTTTCTGCCTGGTGACTCAGTCTGTGGAGTGTCACCGGGCAGCAGTTTGGCTGATAGGGTCGTGCACAGGAGACTGGCCAAACCATGACCGGGGAACTAAGTGAGTACCTGTGTTCCCAAACCTTGTCTCGCTAAGATAGCTACCAACTTACATAAGCTATTGCTTGAATACTTAACACAATAGTATCTGGGGATCCTCCAGTAAACTCCCGCCTTTCATTCATAACTACCACCCTTCCACTGATTGGCGATTATTTAAAAGCCTGATTTAACAGGCAAGCCTTGGCTCCAGTCACCTATGAAAAAGGACAAGATCCACAGGCTAGGAGGAGAGAGGAGAGGAGAGAAAAGGCAAACGTGATCCTAGGCTGTATTAGGATAGGCGCTTCCAATAAAGAGAGAAAAATGTTTAATGCCCCTGTACAAGGCACTGGTAAGACCTAATTTGGAACACTGCACAGTTCTGGTCACCCTGTTCTAGAGAGATGGATTCAAACTGGAACAGGTGCAGAGATTTGCTACTAGGATGATCAGGGGAAGGGAGGGCCTATCTTATGAGAGGAGCCTGGAAGAGCTTGGCTTGTTTAGTCAAGCAACAAGAAGGCTGAGAGGGAATATGATTCCTCTCTGAGTCTGAGTACATTTGGCAGGCAAATATCAGGGAGGGTAAAGAGCTATTTAAGTTAAAGGACAATGTTGGCACAAGAACAAATGGGTATAAACTGGCCATGAACAAACTCAGGCTGGAAACTAGAAGGGGTGAGGTTCTGGAGCAGCCTCCCAGTAGGAGTTGTGGGGCAAAGAATTAATTTTAAGAAAGAGCTGGACAAATTTAAGAGTGCAATTGTATGACGGGGTTGCTGGGATGGGGGCGGGAGGGCAGCCCTGGGGCTCACTTCTGGTCTATGTCTATGTTCCTAAAAGCTCATGCTTCAGACTTTCAGCTGGCCACCAGGAGGGGTCAGGAAGGGATTTTGTGCATGCCCCCTCCCCCATGTATTCTGGGAGGTTGTGTGGTGATGGCGGTGGTTTGTTTTTGTGTTTATATCTCCTTCCTCTGAAGCATCAAGGATGGCCACGGTGGGAGAAGGGACATTGGGTGGGATGGGTCGGGCCAGGGCTCTGAGGTGGCTCCGAGCATTCTCATTCTCAGGTACTGGGCTGGCTGGTTCTTGCTCACGTGCTCAGGCTGTAGCTGATCGCCATACTCCATGTGTTTTGCCTTCCCTGCAACGTGTGGGTCACTTGCCAGGATTATTTGGGTATTTCTCACTCAGTCATTTCCCTGCCACTGCAGGGGCCTCGGACACTGATGCACCTTGGTCCCCTCCTATTCTCTGCCTGTGGCACATACTAGTCTAGTCTCCTGTGGGCTGTAATACTTTGGTCTCATTTTGGTTGTTGGGTTTAGTGTGCGGGTGTTGGGCTGTTGGTGGCCAGTGATATATAGGAGAACAGACTAGAAGATCTGGTCGCTTCTTCTGGCCTTAGACTCTGAGACTTCCCTGAGGGGCAGATTATCCCACATCTACCTTCTGTAGGGTTTCTTGCACCTGCCTCAGAAGCATCTGGTGCTGGGACGCTGTTGCAAACAGATTACTGGACTAGATGAGCCATGAGTCTGATCCAAACTGGCAATCCTGATGTCCCACAGAATACGTTCTTGCCTGTCCTGGAAAGCTCATGCCTCAAGCTGCCAGCAAGGGAAGTTGTCTGGCCTGTGTTATGCGGGAGGCCAGATGAGATGATCATATGGCCTTAAAATCTGTGAACCTGAAGTGTCTTAGTGGGGACCTATTTAAACTCTCTCCTGTTCTTTGATTATTATTTATATCCCCCATGTCTCCCACATCTGGAGACTAATCTCCTGCCCACAAGACAGGATGGAGGTTTGGCTGGCATTGGCGGAGCCCCTTACTCCTTACCTTCAATGGCTGAAATTAGCACAAGCAATAAGCCCACTTTTGGGGGGAGGGGGTCCAGATCAGACTGGCAGGAGGCCTCTTCAAACCTCAGCAAGGGACTCACTCTCACAAGGAATATTCCCTTGGAAATAAAAGTGTTTTGTGGAGTCAGTTTTCAGTGAGACCTTCCTGGGTGTTTTATCTGCAAAGCCACATAAGTATCCTGGGGTTTGTGAGATCCCAGCAACGGCTGTGTCTTTGGAAAAGACCCAAACCAGACTCTGTCATCCTGGAGGTTCCAGGATATGGAGATAGTTGGCGGGAGGAGCTGCCCAGATGCTGCCTTGCTGTGTAATGCTCTTCATATAGTTGTCAACCTTTGTGCCTCCTCAAAAGCGGGTGAATTGATGGCATTCATTGTATTTCAAGATAATTGTGTTGGAGCTGACCTGTGTGTCAGGGATGATTCATGACCTATTTCTGCTCAAGATGATCCTCTCTGAGTATTCAGAAGGCTTTTAACTAAGGAGCTGCTTGTGTGTGTTTGCAGATGGGACTAGCATAGCCTCTACTGTGCTTTCTTTTTTCCTCCGCTCACAGTCACAGTGCAGGGTAACCTCTTGGGTTGAGTAATAGAATGAGAAGGGGGATTATAGCTGTGCCCGGTAGTGTTGCTGTAGTTTAAGGTGGAATCAGTGTTGTGATTACAAACCTCATGTACTTAAGGTTTTATAACTCAGCCACCAAAGTTCAAACTCGATGTATGAGATTCTGAAACCAAACATCTGGCCAAACACTGTAATGTCTTATGCACATAGGGACCCAATCACCTCAAATTACACCGGTGGTGTGCTCTGGGCACAGGATTCTTCTGGGTTCGGCAGTATAAAAGACACTAGCTAGTTGGCTTCAGCCACCATGACTCCAGAAAGTCTTCAGTTTCACCTAATTTTATGTTTGGCAAGGGATTCATCTGCTTCATGCCAGTGACATTTTCAGAAAACTCAGTGGAGCAGAGGGGAAGGAGGAAGAAGGTCTGGTGATGAAAGGATAGGACTGGGGAGTTGGAAGGAGGTAGTTCTAGTCTTTACTCCGCCACCGACTTCCTGTGTGAGCTGAGGTAACTCACTTAACTACCCAGTGCCTCAGTTTCCCTATCTGTAAAACAGTGATAATGTCTCCCTTCCCTACACGTGTGTTATGATGCTTAATTCATTAATATTTGTGAAGTGGTTTGAAATCATTGGATGTACTAGAGCAGTGCAAAGTGTTCTATATTAATTTTTGAATAGTGTCTGCTCCTGGCATAAGGAGTCTGTAACTTACCAATGTATTTTTAATTTGGGCATATTTTCCATTAGACGCTAGTGATAGTTATATGAAAAGGCCAAGTTAGGCCCAATGCG